CTGTGCAGTCAGAGGTGCTGGTCATGCAGTCTGAGTACCGACTGCACCCGTACACCGTGCCCCGGGACGTGAGGATCATGGTGCATCCGCACGTGACGGCAGTCAGCGAGCAGCCCCGGGCAGCCGACGGGGTAGCGAAGGTGCCACCAGCCAGCAAGGTCCCTCAGCAGCCCGGGAAAGACGCCGCCAAGACCGCAGATGCCAAAGCCGCGCCAGCCCCCGCCCCCCACAGTGAGGCCCGCATCCTCACGGTCACCCCCAGCAGCCAGCTCCAGGGGCTGCCTCTCACCCCACCCGTGGTGGTGACCCATGGGGTGCAGATCGTGCACTCCAGCGGGGAGCTGTTTCAGGAGTACAGATACGGAGACATCCGCACCTACCACAGCCCCGCGCAGCTCACACACACGCAGTTTCCTGCTGCCGCCTCCATCGGTCTACCTCCTCGGACCAAGGCTCCCGCTCAGGTGAGTGCCACAGATCAGCCTTACTCCCTATAGCGGTTGAGACGCCAGTGAGGTCCCCGAAACGTGTTGCCGTTTTCGTGAGTTTAAAGAGGAGCTCCCTAAATTGCAGATGAGGGGATCAGGTCACAGTGCAGAGGGCGGAGACACGGGAAGGAGCTGTGGGAACCAGGAGGTGGCTACTGGCTGCAGGGGGGGAGGAGGGGGGAGCGAGCGGGTGACCTCCCACCAGAACCTTCAATCCCGAGTGCCCAAGAGGATCGCCACCGTGGGCCTGGCTCACCAGAGGTGCCTGAGGCCGACCCTGCCCAGAAACCCATGGCCAGTTGGTGCGGGGCAGGGTGCTGGGCACAACAGGCTCTTTACTCTGTCCCCCTCTCTCCCGCCGAACTCCAGGGCCCGGCTCCTGAAGGTGAGCCCTTGCAGCCCACTCAGCCTGCGCAGTCTACACAGCCTGTCCAGCCTGTGCAGTCCACACAGCCTGCACAGCCCACGCAGCCCTGCCAGCCCTCCCAGCTCAGCCAGCCAGGCCAGCCACCAAGCAGCAAGATGCCTCAGGTCTCCCAGGAGGCGAAGGGGACCCAAACGGGAGTCGAACAGCCTCGTCTCCCAACCGTCCCCACAAACAGGCCAGCCGAGCCTCATGCCCAGGTCCAGAGGGCACAGGCAGAAACAAGTCAGACCTCCTACCCGTCGCCTGTGTCTGTCTCCATGAAGCCTGACCTCCCGGCCCCTCTCCCAGCTCAGGCTGCCCCAAAGCAGCCGTCATTTGTCCCCACGACCTCAAGCCCCAGCACCCCTCCAGGACTGGCCCTGACGCACACTGAAGCCCAGGCCACCCCCAAGCCAGATTCTTCTCCACACTTGACTTCCCAGAGGCCCGTGGACATGGTCCAGCTTCTGAAGGTAAGCCTGGCCAGGGCCCCTGCCCCGCTCCCCTCTGAGCCCTGCGCGGCGTTCAGTGCCCTGAAGCCCCCACTCAGACTAGCGAGCTGTTGCCCGGGGCCACGTCCGGCGGGGCTCTGCTCTCCAGCCCTGCGCTCACTTCCTGTCTATCTCCCCGAGAGCAGAAGTACCCCATTGTGTGGCAGGGCCTGCTGGCCCTCAAGAACGACACGGCTGCCGTGCAGCTCCACTTTGTCTCCGGCAACAACGTCCTGGCACATCGGTCTCTGCCACTTTCTGAAGGAGGCCCCCCGCTGAGGATTGCCCAGAGGATGCGGCTGGAGACCTCCCAGCTGGAAGGGGTTGCCCGGAGGATGACGGTAAGTCTCAGGGCCCAGGCAAGTAACTGCCCTGCCCGCGAGGGAGGACGTGGGGCGCCCCCACCTGCCTGTCTCCCCGGCTGGCCATGGTAGTGGCATTCCTGCTGTGTTTGGTCTCCAGTAGGGGGGGGGGGGGGGGGGTGTAAAATGCTTCTTAGTTCCAAAACCTTTTTTTTTTTTTCAGTCAAAAAATAAGGTAGACTTGAAGGTCACCTCAGAAAGGGGGTCTTTTGTGGACGCAGGAGCTGAACCCCTGGGTTGGACAAGCCTCTGCCTGGGCTGCTGTCTTCTGGGGGAGGCCCCTGGTCACTGACGGCTACGCTTCTGCCACAGGTGGAGACAGATTACTGTCTGCTGCTGGCTCTGCCCTGTGGCCGTGACCAAGAGGATGTCGTGAGCCAAACTGAGTCCCTCAAGGCGGCCTTCATCACCTATCTGCAGGCCAAGCAGGCGGCAGGGATCATCAACGTTCCCAACCCCGGCTCCAATCAGGTCAGCCTGGTGTCCTCGCTCGGGGCACACGTGTGTGGGGCCGATCTAAGCTGGTGGCTTGGTTACCAGTGCCGACCAGAATCGTCCGGAGGCGGGCACGGGGCAATCTGGAAAGAGGCAACAGGCAGGCAGAGTGTAGACGAGGGGCCGTCCTTGCCCCTCCTGGAGACAACCCAAGAACAGCTGAGACGGCGGAGGTTCTTAGCCTAATGCTGTGGAAGAGGTTCCCAGGAGGATAGTTTAGTTCGTGTTAGTTTTTCTGACACCTTGTAGGTTTCATCTGCTGGACAAAGTCACGGAGAGGTTAGTTCCCCGGGAAACAGGACTCCCCCCAGCTCTGTGTTGGGCCCCATCAGGGCCCCCAGTCGGGAGTGGTTGGAAGAGCGGTAGTGGGGTGACCGACGCGGAGGCGGATCCGGGATCCCACTTTTCTCCCTCTCTCGTCCTCTTCTCCAGCCCGCCTATGTGCTACAGATCTTCCCGCCCTGTGAGTTCTCGGAGAGCCACCTGTCCCGTCTGGCCCCTGACCTCCTCGCCAGCATCTCCAATATCTCTCCCCACCTCATGATTGTCATTGCCTCTGTGTGAGCCACTGAACAGCCACCGCTCGGTGTATTTCCCCGAGGCTCTGCAGCAAAAAAGTAAACACAGGACACCCCAGTCAAGTGGAGGAAGAAGCTGCCGCAGGGGACGTACTCCACTGCCAGATGCCAGCCTCGCCCTCGAGCCCGCCCACCTGGCTCAGTCGGACAGACCCCTCTGGGCAGTGGTGCTGCTACTTGTATGTTTACATGACATTTAGCCCAAGGACAGACCACCAACCGATGGACTCTGCAGGCACCTTGGGGCTGGGTTTCCCTCCTCCTCTTGGAGAAAAGGAACTGGGCAGTGGAATTAATTTTTTGTTGTTTTTGTTTTTAAGAAACAAAACAGAACTGCCTTTGCACTAAATTAGTGACTTGGACTTTTGCACAGTGAAGACGGGCTGTGACACTCTGGATGTCTGGGTGTACCTGAACACGCATCGAGGACTCTAACGCAGGACTTCAGGCTTCTGCTGAAACGCCGGGGTCAAGGAACATTTCATTGGGTTGTTTGGTCCCCACCCCGCCCTTCCCCTTGCTCATTTGGATGTGTCACCTTTCTTAATTCTCCTGCTGCCACCATCTGTGATTCACCCGGATGTACAGTTTACAATCAAAGAGCAAACAGAAGGATTTTCTTTCTTGGTGGGATATGCAGAACTTGGGATGTGTGTATATATAAATATATAATATATATAAATATATATAATACTGACTTAAAAAAAATCAAATTCCCCTGACATACATTTTTTTTAATCTGTGCCAAAAATGTGTTTTCAGAGAAAATCTTATTTTCATACTCAGACTTTGTATTGTCACTCATTTGTATAAGTGCGCTTCGTTACAGCACGGGCCCGGCCCCCGCGATTTGAAGTGTCACACACAACAAAAAGACTGTACAAAAAAGACTGGCTTCCCCTCTTCCTGTTACCTTGACCTCTCCCCCCAACTTCCTAACACTTATTAATTTATGAAACTGGTTTTCTCAGCGCAGTTTTGTTTTGTGTGTCCATTGGATTACAAACTTTATTAAAAAATACAAAACACGTCCAGTGTGAATGTGATTGTCACTTGGGTGGGAGAACCGAGGGTCCTTTGCTTATGGGAACAGCTAGCCCTCGTCCCACTTGTTTCCTTCCCCAAGTCTACATGGGACCTCTTTTCTGCCACTTAATCCTCCCCAAGCATCGTTTTGTTTTATACAAAAGAGATTTCTGTCACAGACCGAACTTACTTGTTCTTGGGTAACGCGGAAGGCACTTCAAAGTTGGATACAGGAAAAACAAACTACGCCCCGCTCCCCCCGGCCCATGCAAACTCAGAAACCCCTCGAGCAAACTTTGGTGTCTCTCGCCTCTTCCTCCTCCAGGTCTGGAGCAGGCTGGCCCCGAGGCGGCACAGCCCGAAAGGAGGATGGGGCAACAGGAACACGGGGACCACGGACTCGGGGTCTCACATGGGACAGTCACGGGGCTCCTAACGGGCCTGTGCTTTTGCTGAGGGGGTGGTGCCGTCTCTGAGGGAGGGATCACGGCTGCCGGGAGCGAACTGTAGACACGGGGCAGAGACGGCATGACGGCTCCCGCCGCCGGCGGCGCTCGCGGTGCCCCCACCCCCAACAAAGCCCCCGGCCCACGCGTCTCTGGGCCCAGAGCCTGGTCGTAGACTCCCACCGATGCACGGCAAACATGTTCCCCAAAGATGGCACTTAGCTCGGCCTTGATCCTGTGAGGGGAGGGCGGGGCGCGCCTGCTTCCCCAAGCCCAACGAACTGTGGCCGGTGGGCCTGGCTCTCTGCCTACCTTGCTGCTCTGGCTGAGTGGGCTTCTGAGCGGGGCTCTGTGGGTTGCCTGGATCCTGGTTAAGCCAACCCAGCGGGGCAGAGGGGGAGCGGGCTCACAGCTGTGCTCCGTGGCGGGGGCGGGGAGCTCGGGTCCCGAAGCCGAACAGGTGAGAAGCCCGAGGAGGAAACCGGCCGAGGGGACGGGGGTGCGTGGAGTCACCGTCTCTCTGGCCCCAGGCGTGCCACCCGCACCCCAACTGAGGACAAGGAAGCCAGCTTTTCTCTCGACCGGTCCGGAGGCACCGGCCCCTTCTGCACGAGGGACAGCCTGGCTTGGCCAAGAAGCTCCCCGGGTGGAGCATCGGCCCGGCTCTGATAGCCCCGGCCCCCAACCCCACAGGGAGCTATAGGCAGCGTTAGAAAATAATCCAATTTATTCTCTAGGGAACGGGGCCACCCTTCTCAGATCTAGGGTGCCGTCCATCCTTAAATAAACAGTCAGAGGAGAGACGCCTGCTCACTCAGCAGGCGGTGGACATTCAGGGGCGGCGGGGGGCGTCTCCGCCAGAGCAGGCTGGCCGTCGGCCCCGTCCCGAGGGCGGAAGACCAGCTCCCCGGCCTGCAGCACCTGCCCGGCCGGCCACGTGCCGCCCGGCCCGTACTGCTGGTAGAAGTCCGCGTCCGTCTGGAACATGACCAGCGCCTGGGCCGTGTGGATCCGCACGTGCTGGGCGAGGCTGTTAGCGTCCAGGAACTTGTCCCCACAGGAGTCGCAGGCATAGAGGATGTGGGTGTTGGGGTCTGTGGGAGGCGGAGGGCTGCGGTCAGGATGGGGGGAACCCTCGGGGGTTCACAGGTGTTCACGCCCCGGGCGGCCCCCTCACCTTCCTCCTGGACTTGCTTCACAGCTTTGCTGATCTCGGCCTTAAGGACTTCCGTCTCGTCGGCGGTCACCGCGGCCCCCACTGGCACCACTGTGGGCAAAGTCCAAGGGGCCTAAGGCCAAAGGCACCTGCCCGTCGCCACCACCCCAGAGGCCGGCTGCCCGCGACCAGCCCCTGCTGCCCGTGGCCCGCACCTGTGAGCTGAGTGACAGCGGTTGCCGCCAGCGCTTCGGTGGCCAGCGTGACCATGTCATCCACGGTGACCACGCTGACCTCCCCGCCCTCCTCTGGCTCCAGGATTTTGATGCCCGCCTTGCCCTGGTGCACGGTCTTCACGTGGGAGCGCAGGTTGTCCACGCGGTTGAAGCCACGACCGCACTTGTCACACAGGTAGGGCTTTTCTCCTGAGGGGGGAGGCAAGGTTCTCGCCTGCCGTTGGGAGGGGGGGGCGGGGGGGGAGGACCTCAGTGGCCTCCAGCTGCCCCAGAGCCCTGTCTTTTCCAGTAGCGAGTGCTCTGGGGCAGCCACCAGGGCTGCACAGAAGCGTCCAGTGGCCACTGCACCTTCTAGAAACTCTAAATGGGGTCCTCCTTTGAACTGAACCTCCTTCAAGGCCACCTGCAGCAAGGGCCAGTGCCCAAGGCTGGGATCTGGAGGGCCCTCCCTTCCCACTGCCCCGGCAGCCCCCCCTCCCCCCGACAGGGACAGACAGGCAAGTGGGCACGGGCTCACCAGTGTGGATGATGATGTGCTTGGACAGGTCCCCCACGTTCACGAAGGCCTTGCTGCACACACTGCACTTGTGAGGGCGGATGTTGTCATGGTGGCGGATGTGATTGGCCAACTGGCTGGACTGGACGAACCTGCAGGGCCGCAGAGGGAGGGGGCTTGCACCGAGCTGCACAAGCCAGGGCCCAGGATGGCGGGGGAGCCCGGGGGAGCCGGGGGGAGCCGGGGGGAGCCGGGGGGAGCCGGGGGGAGCCGGGGGGGAGCCGGGCTGGCGTCTCCAGCGTGGCTGCGAGACCGGAGCCGAGCCCCGGGGCCTACGCCCGGGGCCGGGCAGCCGTCCACCCAGTTCCCAACTGAGCTCTAGGTTCGCTTCCTGACCCCCTTCACCATGCAGGGCGCCGGGCATGGGAGGGACGGGCGGGGCAGGACCTCTTGCCGCAGCGCTCACAGACGTAGGGCTTCTCGCCGGTGTGCTGGCGCACGTGCGCGATGAGGGAGCTGGCCTGGGTGAAGGCCTTGCCGCACATCACGCACTGGCACGGCTTCTCGCCTGGGGACAGGGGGAGGCGACGGGAGAAGGTGTCGGCGCCCGCTCCTCCCCGAGCGCCTTCCCCAGCCTCCGGGCGCCCGCCACCCAGCCCGCCCCGGCCACCTGTGTGGATGCGGACGTGCCGCTGCAGAGCGCCGGGGTCCGCGAACTGCCGCTGGCAGTGGATGCACACGTAGGGCTTCTCCCCGCTGTGGATCCGAAGGTGCCGCTTGAGGTTCCCTGCGGCGGGATGCAGGAGGGCCCGCGTGAGCGCCAGCGGGGAGGGGGGGGGGGCAGGGGGGGGGGGGGGGGGGGGCAAGGAGCGGAGGGGCGTGACGCGAGGGCAGCCGGGGCAGCCCGGGCCCTACCTGAGGTGGTGAACTGCTTCCCACACTCTCGGCACTTGAGGGGCCCGTCCGCGATGTGGATCTTCAGGTGGGCCTTCAGATTCCCCACCTGCACCCAGGCAGGGGTCAGAGGGGGCCACCCCGCGCAACCGGCCTCGGCCACCCCTCCCGCTGGCGAACGAGGGATTCTCGGCCCTCTCCCGGGCCCTTGGACCACTCCATCCTTCCTCGAGGCCCGTGGAATGTTCCAGGTCCCGGAGGCGAAAAGGGAAAACCACCCCCACCCCTGCCCGGGGTCTCTGGGGCCCGAGCCACCACCTCCCGCCCCAGATTCCCCGGCAGAGCGGTCAGAGCTTCGCCGGGGCAGGGCCCCGTCTGCTTCGGTCCCCGGCGCGGCCGGCCCTCCTCGCCGCTCCGTCGGCACGCACCTGGTTGAACTTCTTGTCACAGTGCGGGCACTTGTGCTCCTTGTCGGTGTCGTGGGTCTCCAGGTGGCGCATCTTGGAGGTGGGGTCGGAGAAGGAGCGGCCGCAGTAGTCGCACTGGTAGGGCTTCTCGCCGCTGTGCACCAGCTGGTGGCGCTTCAGGTTGCCCGACGTGGTGAACAGCTTGCCGCAGTCCCCGCAGCGGTAGCGCGCCTCGCCCGAGTGCCGCTTCTTGTGCAGGTTCAGCAGGCTGATGAGCCGGTAGCTCTTGCCGCACTCCTCGCAGCCGTACGGCTTCAGCGGGCTGGTGGTCACGGGGAGACAGGGAGAGGGGACGGTCGCTGGGCTCCCAGAGGCCGGGGCCCTGCGGTGGGGGGGGCGGCGGCCGGGGCGGCGTACCTGTGCGTCTTCTCGTGGGCCTTGCAGGCGGCCGGGTCCGAGAAGGCCTTGCTGCACTCCCGGCACGAGAAGGGCTTCTCGCCCGTGTGGATGCGGATGTGCCGCTTGAAGTTGCCCGTGTGCGTGAACTCCTTCCCGCAGTCCTGCAGGGCGCAGCGGGGGGCGGGCATCAGGGACTGCGGGGCCGCGAGGGGGGGGGGAGCGAGGGGGGTGGGGGGAGCGAGGGGAGGGCCGCACCTCGCACTTGTGGATGACCGAGCCGTAGGCCTTGGACTCGGTGCGGTCGCCGTAGGTGCCCGAGCGCGGGCCCCGGGCCTCGGTGCCCAGCTCCTGGCCCGAGTCCGTGCTGGCAGACTCCTCGCTCTCCTCGGGGGGCTCCCCCTTCTCCAGCGGCGGCCCCTCTTCCTTGACCTCGGCGGCCGCTGCGCCTTCATCCTCCTGCTCTTCTCCTTTCCTGGCCGGCTCCACCTCCATTTCTGCCGGAGAAGGGTGGGCACTGAGGCGCTCGGGAGGGCTGGAAGGGGCCTCAGAGCCAGGGAAGGACGAGGGCTCGTCTCCGCAGCCCTCCCTGTGTGCGCGAGTCCCCTGCAGGGGCCAGCTCGGCGTGGCCACCACAGACGAGCGGCCCTGGTGCCGGCCGGGGAGAGGGCAGAGGACGCTGCGGAGCAGGCCGCTCGCTGCTGGGAGGTGGGACTGGGCCTCCACCCCCGGGGAAGCCGGACTGGCGGCACAGTGGGTGCGGGGGGCAGCCGGGACGCAGCAGCCACACTGAGGCCGCGTCAGCAACACGTCCGCGCCGAGAGAAGCCCAGCCGGGGTGCACAACCGAGACAGCGGTCAGGAGTTGACAACGGCAAGACGGCCTCGGCCGAAGCTAAAGCCGGAGTCGGAGCAGGATCAGCTTGGGGGCTGGGGGGTGGGGGAAGGAGCCCTGGGGGACGCGTGAGCGACGGCCGCCCGGCCGGGCTGGTGGCAGGGCACCTTGCTCCGAGCTCTCCGACAAGGCGGCCTCGGCCTCCGCAGCAGCCATGCTGCTCGTGGGGTCGGGCTTGGGCTCCACGGAGGGCGGCTCCCGGGGGGCGTCGGCCTTCTCTGTCTGCTCGGCACCTGGGTGGGGTGTGGGAACACCGAGGCTGCATGAGGACCCTCCCTCCGGCAGCCGGATGGCTCCCCTGGACCAGGCCCCCCGGGGGAGTGGCTGTGGCCCGGCGCGGGGCGGGGGGTGCCGCACGTCCAAACTCAGGCTACTTGTGCCCGTGCTCTCGCTGCAGCAGGTGCCTTGGAGTGAACGGCTCTCCCAGCCCCAGGAGGCACCCCTCCAGGAGGCCACTCACTGCCCCAGGGCCCAGGCTGCCAGGAGGTGACAGACTCGGCGTCACAACTCACCGCTGGCCGTGCTCTCAGCCTGGCCGCCCCGCTCCTCCTTGGGCTCCCTGTCTGGGCCCGTGGGTGGACCGCTTCCGGCCGGGTCCAGCTCGCTCAGCACGGCAGCAGCCGCCTTTTCCTCTTTGGCTCTCTTGTCTCCTCCTGGAGATGGAACGGGACAGTCTTGCCATTTCCCACCACGCGCCCACCGCCTGGAGGGGTGAGGTGGCCCAGAACTTGCTGGCTCTTCCAGATCGTCCCTGGGGAGACATCTACATATTGGCTGACCAGACTGCTCATCGGGCACCCACTCCATGCCAGGCCACCAGCTGAGCACAGAATAAACAGTCCCGGCTGCTGCTTCCACGGGGGCTCCCGCCCTGGTCAGGGAGCAGACCTCACACGCAAAGCAATACCGCCCATCAGAGCTCCGTGCTCAGGAGGGAGACGGGCTCTCCGCGAGGGGTACCACGAGAGCCTGGCCCACCCCTGGCGTCAGGGGGAAGGGCACGAGCAGGGAGAGCTGCTGGAGGAACGACCCCACGCGCAGGGGCCTGGGCCGAGCGCACCCCCAGCCCTCTGGAGCAGCAGAGCACACGGGAAGTGGGTAAAGGGGGGGGAGGGGTAGGCAGACGACAAGCCCCTCGGGAGGCCTTCCTGAGACTAGCACCCTGTGACACAGGCAGGGCCGGGCGAGGACGCTGAGGCCCAGAGAGTCAGTGACAGCACCCCAGCCAAAGCCACGTGTTCAGGAACAGCCCGGCCATAACCTCACCTTCCGTGGCTGAGGCCACCGTAGTCTCCCCGGGGCTGCCAGCGGGCTCAGCGAGGGACTTGAGGGCGTGGCAGGCCGTGACGATGTCCTGCATCTGCAGGAAGCTGGCCACAGCCAGCACATCGTCCACGTTCTCAGGGCTCAGGCTCAGCTTGGCCGTGTACATAAACTCCAGCACCTGCCCGAGGCCTGCCAAGGACACAGACAGCCATCACGGACCTCGTGGGGCCTGGCTTTTCCAGCCGGCTCTGCCACTCCACTCGGTCGCAGGATCCAGGGATTTGGGAAAAGTGGAGTGGCGGGCCGCCGTCCCCCCATCTCCCGTGCTGGCGGGTAGGCGGACAGCCTGGGGGTTCTCGGCCCAGACGGCGGCCTCCGAGATGAAGCACATCCGCACAGGGCAGGGGGTACGATGGCTGCCCTGCACGGGGGACAGCGGGGGTGAACGCCCACCCTGCACCAAGGACAGAGGGTGTGAACAGAGAACCGAGAGGAAAAACACCCGCCCTGCAAGGAGGACCAGGGTGTAAACCTCTACCCTGCACAGAGGACGGCAGTGGGAACACCCACCCACCCCCCGCCCCCCACGGTAAGCTCTGGCCAGCCGCTGCACCCTACCACTGGAGGGCGCCCCAACACGAGGGTGTTGGCACTGGCTTTCCTCAGGGCTCTGCCACGAAGTATCTGACCTCCAGGCCAGTCACCTGACCTCTTTGGGTCTCAGCTTCCGTATCGGTAAGATGGGGGTACGGCACTTTGCCCTGACCTTCCCATGGCGCGTCATGCGGTTCCGGGCCAGAGCCAAATCCAGGCCCCGTTCCTTCCTCAACTGCAAGGTTTCCCGACACCCCTCCCATCTCCATCATAGTTAGCACTGGAGTAGGGGTTCGGGACCGACTCGGCAATGGGAAGGGGTAGGGGGCTGAGAGCCCACCTGTTCTCTGTCCCTCTTGACGAGCCTGTCCTAGTTCACTCCGGCTGAGAGTGTATCATGAGCCCTCCCTCGTCAGTTCTCCTCTTACCACCCGGCTCCCGGTCGAGAATGCGTTAGGAGCTTGGTGCCCATACACTCGTGGCAGCACCCGTGTGGGCGGCCTGGTGCACCTGACGCCTCGGAGGGGCCCCTCCCGGGAGGGCCGTGCGCGGCGCAGAGCCGGCCACGGCCCCCGACCCTCACGGAGCCTGGCCCTGGACCCAACGGGGTACCTGCCGCATTACTGATGTCCAGGTGCACCACGTCCTTCTGGTCCACGAAGAGCATCTTGAAGTACTCGCTGCAGGCCGCCAGCACTGCTTTGTGGGCCTTGAAGTCAACGCCGTCCACCACAAAAGTGCAGTCACACAGAAGCCCCAGCTGCCGCTGCTGGTTCAGCTGCTCCAAGACGTGCTGGCTGTGCTGGGGAAAGTCCATGGCTGGGGAGAGCCAAAGGGCCTTTGCGTTAGCACAGAGACAGGGGGCCAGCCAGCCTGACAGTCACCCCCCAAATTCCCAGGTGAGAAATGAGGGGGAGATGGGGAGAATTCAAACAAATCCACAAGGGGTAAAATCACTCCAGACTTCCTCTGCAAGCCAAGGCTCCTAGAGCCCCGGGTTTACTGGGCAGCAAAGTTCCCAACCACAAGCATGGAGGGACCAACACAAAACGGCCACCTTTGTGTTCTGCCAGGTAACAAAAATTAAAAAAAAAAAAAAAATCAAAAAACAAACACAAAACACAGATTACGGTGAGCATTTAAGAAAAAGACATGGTCAGTTTAACATTTTTTTTATGAAAACAACGCATGACATAATTTTAGAAAAAAAGGACAGATCTTTCAATTCGATACATTTGGCCTTATGAAAACCTTTCTACTTTGTTCTTACTTTTCCCATTCTGCCATGCACAGGTGACAGATGTCTCATCACCCGGCATTTCGGCAACGGACCCTCTCCCGCTGCACCCACAGGGCTCTGGCAAAGTCCAGGAGACAGGGATCTCCCTCTCCCTCCCCCTCCCCCTCCCCCCCTCTCTCTCTCTCTCTCTCTCTCTCTCTGATTCACAGGCTCAGGAAACGACATAAAGTCCTCTGCCTCCAGAACCGTCTCCAGGCTGTCCCCGGAGGAGGAATAGCTCTGGCCCTGACCCCAAGAGCTGCTGGGCTGGCTGCAGTTTCTCTGCCAGAGGCCTCACACAAAGGCCTGGAAATCCCGTAACAGTCTCAAGCGAAAATGCTCAGAAAAATTCCATGGCCCGGCGCCCAACAATCACGAACTACCACAGGCCGTGACTAAATAAGTATCTAAAGCAGCCCTCTCCTCCCTAGCAGCACCACACCAGAGTCAGTCTCAAGACCAGCATTTTATAGGGAAAGCAGCGGGCCCTCAGTTCAAGAAAGACCCAACTTCAAAATAAAAGTCAACGCCCCACTCCTGGGACCGCGTCACGTTGATCCACCAGGACCAGGCTGTCGGTGCCCTGGCCCGGCATCTGAGGTCTGGGTCTGCTCGGAGCTGCCCCCGGGCTCTTTCCGGGCAGGTGAGAATGACACTTTGGGGCTCCCAGCCCCCAGGGTGCAGCAGCCCCTCACTGGCTCCTGGTGTTCAGTTAAATCGGCCTCCTGGGGGTGAGTCACCGGTGCTGCTGCAGCCGCAGTGACCATGTATGGCGGTCGGGCCGCTGCGAGGAGCCACGAGGAAAGCCACGCCCCCACACGAGGGGCTTAGCCAGCGCAGATCAGCCCCGAAGGACCAAAAGCCCACCCACCCTGTGGTGTCTGGAAACGGTTCAGAAGCGGGGCCACGTATTTGCGGAGCTGGGGGAAGTCACCGCGCGGCAGGCGGGGCTCCAAGGAGTAAGGGGGGGATGTGGCAATGGCAACAGACTGTGCGCCCCACGTGCCAGCCTTCCTCTGAGCCACGAGTTCAGAGAAGCTGTTGCCGGGGACCCAGAAACACCCTTTCCCTCCCTCCGACGTCCCCAGGACGGTCCTTTGGTCCCAGCCTCCACACACAAGCTCCCAGACAGAGCCACGGCTTCTCGGTTCTCCGTTCCGTCGCGGTGCCAATGGCTGGAGCTCGAGTCAGCAGGGAAGCGCCAGGAGCCAGCCCTGGAGTCCAGAGGGGAGGCCTTCGGCGTCCGCTGAGCAACCCGCTCTGGAGCCAAGCCAGCCAGCAGCAGCAGGGAGCCACCAAAGCAAAGGCCACGGCTGACACGCGACACCTGTGAAGGCATCCTTCTCTGTCTTTAATCTCTGGAAAAAGCGGGGAAGGAAGGTGTCTGCTTTCTCCAGAAACCTTTCTGTTTCTGGAGAACATGGACAAGAACCAACGTCCAGTCCGCGGGTTAAACACCTAGGCCAGGGCACTCAGGCCTAGCATCTGAAAGCAGTTCAGTCCAGGCCCGGCATACGTGGAACCAAAGGCAGGTGGCAAGGAGAGGCCTGGGCCAGCTCACCCGTACAGCTGTCCTCTCACGACAGAAAAAGGCACTTGAGCAGACAGGTGAGTGCGTGGGAGCGCGGGCAGCCCCCGAGCCCCAGTCACCAGTCACTGCCTGTGTCCTGTGACGCCCAGGTGAAGCGGGTCTGGAGAGCAGAAGGGAGGACAACCAGAGGCCTAGGGGGCAGATGTTCCATCAGCTTCAGGGTAAGCCCATTCGGAGCTCCCTCACCTTCGCCAGCAGCCAACCCGAAAACTGAGCTGGGAGGAAGGGTCTCCCAGGTACACAAACCACCAGGGGGCATCAGCTGACACCCCACCCCCACCCACCCACCCACCCACCCCCGAGGCACAGAGCTGGTCCCAGGGCCCTTGCCCTCCAGCTTGGAACGCGACCTAACTTGCTGCGAAAGTAAACCTGAGAAGAGACTCCTGGCCAACAGGGTGGAAGGGGCCGATCAGTCTGGGGTGGCAGGGCACCCAAGGCCGCGAGGAGCCATCGTGCCGCCGTACGGCCTCAGCTTCCAGGGAAAGGGCATGAAGCAGGCTCTCCTGGGGCTGGACATGGGGGGTGGGCAGGGGCTTTCATTTCAGAGGCTGTGGGGGGGGGGCCAGTAAAGGTCCTGGGAGAGGGTGGCTGGTGGCCGGGATCCTCCAGTGTCCCCCACCCCCAGGAAAGCAGCGGTGCCCACAGGGAATGCCCCCTCCCCAACGCTAACCACGCTCTTCCGCTGCCAGCTGCCGCCCAGAAGTGGGCTCCTCCCCAAACATGGGTGTGGGGGTCTCCAGAGTCCTCTGCAGCTGTCCCAAAGCTGTCCCAACAGAGAAACACTCCTAAAGGGCACCTGTTCTGACAAAATCAAAGAAAGAAAAGGAAGAGAGAAAAAGGGAGAGGACAAGAGAGGAAGCAGCGAAAGAAACGGGGAGTGTGAGGGGGAAGGACGAGGAAGGAAGAGAAAGAAGGCGGCGCCCACACGCCCGAGAAGCCAGGCTCACAAGCCCAGCCCTGCCATCAGCCCCGGGGAGGGCGAGCGCAGCCGTGGGGGCTCGGGCTCAGCGGGGGTGCCCACAGGCAGGCCACAGCCCGCCCGCCCAGACGGGGCTCAGAGGCCCCCAGCTGCCTCCACCAGCTGGCCCGGCCTGCTAGAAAGCTCCACCAGCCCCTGTCTCCTCAAGGTGATGTGGCAAACAGGTGAGGGGCCAGCTGGCCGGGCCCTTCCCTCAGAGGGGCTGAGCGAGAACAGGGGCACCAGAGGTGGCATGAAATGCTCTAGAATGATCACGGCAGTCCTCCCACGGTGTCCTGTTTCCTCTTTTACGCTCCACAGAGACAGGACCCCACCGCGATCCGGCCAGGTTTAGAGGCTCCAGGAAGAGGTGAGGGCGTGGAGACCCCGCACCTGCCCGGGCCGCACCGTCACATGCGTGGGTCCCGCGGGCCCGGGCGGCTGTCCACCCCCGTGCACGCTCGGAGTCACCGTCTGAGGAGAGACCCGAAATGGTACAAGAGCAACAGCCCAGCCGCCTCTGGTCACCAGCGTCAGTGCTCGAGTGCGGTTCCCTCAGCCCCCGGCCGGCTCTGCGATGCCTTCGCTCAGGCCAAAGTGTGGGGGCCCCTGCTGCCCTCTTTCTCCCTGCTTTGGAGCGATAAAGGTGGGCCTTAGACAAAACTGCTAGGAGACCCTAAGAGCTTCGAACTAGAGAAAATGCAAACAGAACAGAGCCCGCAAAGTCCTCACGTTAGATGTAGAAGACGGAAGCCCCAAACCGGCACCCGACTGGCCCACTCAAGAAACCGGCCTGACCTTCCACTCACTCACTGCACTCGGGCACCTTCCCCAGGACGCCACCAGCTGCTCTGTGGTTATCCCTGCGGAACGGGGCCGACTTCCCAGGCTCTGGGGACAGCCACCAACCTGGCTGGACGTACAGCCCCGGCCCGCCCCACAAGGAATTCATTCGGGGATGAAAAGGGACCTGGAGAGCGCCTGCAGCATGATTCCCAACAGGCCCGACTAAGCGACCGGACACGGACGGACGGCGTGGGCACCCTTCTCAGGATGGCCACCAACCGCTCCCCCTGTGCCAGAAGATTCCAACTGCAGGTGGGGGCCCTGTGATGACTCTCACCAAGAGGCAGGGACTGTGCCTGCTGGAGAGACGAGACGCGTGGAGGGGCCTCCAGAGGCACACGATGAACTCGGAGGCCCTGGCTGACAGCAGTATGAGAGAACTTTCCTGGACCTTCCAGGCCAGCTATTAAACGGTCACATGAACGACCTCAACGCCTCATGGAACAAAAGAAACTGCCCAGCCAACCCCCAACATCGGGAGAAGTAACGAACTGCCAATAGTTGAAGTCACTGAGTTTCAAGGTGGTTTTGCTCCCGGCGAGGGAGAGCGGACCCAGCCGGCAAAACCGTGCAGGCAGTGAGTACCGGGACACCCAGGATGAGGGTTCTGTCCGGATGGCAGGAGGGGCAAGCAGAGGTCTTCTGAGACCCTGAGAGCATTCCGTCTCTTTACTTGGACACACCTAGATGTATTATCTAAATCACACACACACAATCCACATACTTCCGTATGGTACCATTTCTCCAAAGTTGACACAATTTTCAGTAAGAAAAGAGAGAGGGACAGGTGCTACGCTCAAGCCTGCAGAGATGGGGTTATTTCCAAGCACACTCCTGGCCTCTCTCACTGGGTGTCCGTCAGGTTTCAGCAGACTCGAGTGGGGTGCGCGGGGGGCTGGCCACGGCAAACATGGTCCCGCCCGTTCCCCCAGTTCCCAAACATCCGCAAGCAGATGAGGACATGAGAAGGGCTTCTCCTTGGTGAAATGCAGGCAATTCAACAAAACCTGGATCCCAGGTCCCCACGCCCCCGCCCCCACCCACGACGAAATGGCATTCACGACGTCTCTTCAACACGCGCACGGCACCACCCGACCACCTGAGAACTAAGAACACGGCCACTCTGAGAGTCAAGTTCCACACCGCGGCCTCCGGGACTCGACTCCAGGAGGCGAGAGGCAGTTCAGCACCGCGGCGACAGGGCCTCTGGGGTCGGGCCAGGTGGGACCCGAGTCCAGCTTCTGCCACCCACCACACCAGCCGTGCATCTCCAGCAAAGCTCCTCCCCTGGCAAAACGGGGCCAGTGGGACCACTTCCCACGTGTGTTACAGGCTTACAGGAGATAAATGTAAGCACAGCACCTGTACAGTGCCTGACATACAGTAAACACTCAGCAAACAAAGGCTACCAGGAAAGAAAGACGCAAACTATGGCTGTATTTTTAGGTCGAAGATCGTATCAGATGGTTTCTACATATCCTTTTATGCTGGGTACCTTGGGTGCACCCGGTAACTATTTAGTGACTTGACCTTGTTAGGAAGTTGTAATCATAACCCATTATTCTTTCTAAAAGCAATCTGGAAAAATCCCAGAGCCCAATTAACATTAAGAGAGGGAGGGCGTGAAGGGAGGAGCACTGGGCAAGAACCATCCAGAGCTACTTTCTCTGTGGGGGAAGCACTTTATATTGAACAACTGCTCTGTTAAGCCCCACGGGTGCTGCCGGATGAAGGCTGGAGCACCTGCCCACAGCTCTAAGTGGGTCCACACAGCACCGCCCCATCTCAGAGTCAAAGGGGCACCTGTCAAACGTGAAACATTACCCGGGTTATTAGCAAGCACCGAACTGCACGCAGAGGGAAGCCACCAAGCCAGGAAACAACTGGCCTACCGCGAGGAGACGCTGGCCTTGAGAAACAGCAGTCCCCAGCTCCCAGAACACAACGTGCCCGGGTGCAGGCCCGGACGTGACACAGCCGTGTCATGTCCGGGGGCAGGTAAGAGGGATCACCCTTCAGCTTCCAGTCGCTCGGCATTCCAGATCTTCTAGAAACACAGGTAGATCCCGTCTACAGCTGAGCGCACACAAACTCAGGCCAAAGACATGGAAGGTCACAGCAGGCCAGCCTTGTAACTGTGAGACCTGCCGGCCCAGCCCGCCCACCCGCCCAGTGTGACGAGCTGTCCCTTTCCAGCACAACATGGCAGAGGGGCAGATGCCAACAAAACCAGCTCTTCTGGCACCTTCCTCTTTGCCCAGCAAGGACGGCTCTGATATTAAGCTCGTGTTTCTCAAACTTTTAAAAACCAATTTCCCCTTTAGGGTGAACACGCAAACGGACTCGGACCTTCCCAACAGGCCCAGATTCTGATACTTCATCTTCCACTGGGTAATGGCCCCACTCTGAAAATCAACTGCTGCCCTCTACACGTTCCCACCAGCCAAGATTCAGTAGCATTTTCTTTGAAGTCCGTGTGACAAAAAAACCACGGATTTTTAAAACTCTAAAAATAATACCTAAATATAAATTGTACAACTGCCTCTGCTTTTCAAATTCTACAACCCCCATTATCTCGAACACTTAACCACGCTTCTGAAGAGGGAACAGGCATCCCCCTCCCTGACCCCCGATGGAGCCCACCGCTCCAGGAATGTGGCCCGGTGGGAAGGTTGGCCGGCCCTGAGGAAAGGGCTGTCCCAGATCCCGGCGTGCCTGTGCCAGTTCAGAATCCATCATGCTAGGACCTGCTCTGGGCACTCTTAAGAGCTTGACAGAGGGTGAGTTAAGGGCCTTGCTTCCAAAAAAGACAAAATCAGAATATGTGGGACTTGGTGGCATTTTATCATTCTCCCAACATGCCCCCCGGCCCCTCCACCCCAATACTCCCTGAGCACTGACATAGCCTGAAACAAGGCTGCTACTTTGCCTGGCCTCCCCTGGTTTAATAAACTCACTGCTGGGTGGGACAGACTGACTTCCTCCTCACAGCTGTTGACAGCACTGACCCCAGGACCTTGGCATCACACGATTACAAATCAAGTCGGGGAAGAGGCCTGTATAGAGAAGTAGGTGATTCCTGGCCTTTTTTTTTTTTTAATGTTTATTTTGAGAGAGCATGCGCACACGCAAGCGGGGGATGGGGATGGACAGAGAGAGGGAGACAGAGAATAGCAAGCAGGCTCCACGCTATAAATGCACAGCCCGAACCCACAAACCATGAGCTCATGATCTGAGCTGAAATCAAGAGTCAGAAGCCCAACTGACTGAGCTGCCCAGGCGCCCCTATTCCTGGACTTTTTGAGTGTGACTTACTCAAGGTCAAATATTCTGAGGACCCTCATGAGATGATCATCGTACTTCCGGTGCTTGTTAATGGAGAAAATAATAGACAAAAACCATATGAAAAATCATTTCCCTCCTACTAATCACAACAGCATCTCTGTGCATTTGAGAGGCCGTAAGAATGAGAAATCTCCTTCAATATACAGAGAACCGGGGAGGGGGGGGGGGCGCAATACAGCTGCGTGGCTACCTATCACCTTCCCCTCTAAGGGTCCTCAGCCCCTAAATCGGGAAACAGACCCAGAGACAACAGCCTTTCACAGACACTGGAGGAGTGTCTGCTCTGTGCCTGTACTACATTAGAGCTACAAGGCCTCAGGGGAGGGAGGGTAATAAATATGATATACAATCTCACGTGTTAAGTGTTGTGAAGAAGGCGCAAGAAGATGAGGAGACGAGAGGCAGAGGCTGTTTCATATTTAAGAAAACAGTCAAGGAAAGCCTCTCTGAGGAGGTGACGTTTAAGCCAAGACCTGAATGAAGTGGAAGAGAAAGCCACGTTGTTGCCGTAGAAGCCCAGAGACTGTTGCAGGAACAAGGAAGAGTAAACCCAAAGGCCCTGAGACAGGCATGACCTCGACAAAGGGGCTGGGTGCCTGGAAAGGAGGAAGCTGGGGCGGGGGGGGGGGGGGGGCCCGGGGTGGGGGACAGCGGCAGAGGCGGAGATCACTCAGGTTGATCAGAGGCAAGTCGGGCTTTGGAGTTTCTTCTAAGTGCACTGGGGGCCCCAGGGGACTGGGTGCAGAGGGGCGTGAAGGAGGCAGGAGGGGACAGAGGAACAGCAGGGAGACAGGGAGAGGCAAGCAATGGAGGCCCCGCACCCAGGCAGGCGAGGCGGTCGGATCAGGAAGCTGTTTGGTAGAGACAACAGTCAGCTGATGCCAGGAAAGAAAGGAGTCAAGGAGGACTCTAAATTGTTCTCTGAGAAACTGGCCGAGTGCTGGGGCCATTCCCTGAGGCGACAAGCGAGGCTGGTGTACCGGCTGAGATGGCCACAGGAGGGCCGGTGGTGACAGACACAGGACCAGGGCGGACCAGGGCGGACCAGGGTCCCCACGGGAGCACATACTGGACAAAGAAGAGGAGACACCAGCAGATTCAGATCAAGGGATGTGCAAATGAATCCTGGCTCCGGTCTTGCCAGGGTGGCCTCAGGCAAGCTTCTCCGGGTTCTAGGCTGCTCACCCATTCACCAGGAAAACCACCACACCACTGTGAGGGCTAAAGACACAACACAGGGGTGCCTGGGTGGTTCGGTCAGTTAAGCGTCCAACTCTTGGTTTTGACTCAGGTCAAGATCTCGTGGTTTGTGAGTTCGAGCCCCGGGTCGGGCTCCGCGCTGACAGTGTGGAACCTGCTTGGGACTCTCTTTCCCCTCCTCTCTCTCTCTCTCTGCCCCTCCCCCACAGGGCACTTGTACTCTCTCTCTCTCAAAAATAAACTTTAAAAAAGAGAGACAGAGA